ATACCAATCCCACACCAAGCTTGCGGCGAGATTATGGTGTGGCCAGCCCAATATGTGTTTGGACCCAATAGGAAACTTGAATGACATTCAAGATTCTGTCTCTGGGAAAATAACAAGAACAAAAAACAAGGAATGCAGAGGAACTATGGAATGTTGTCCAGTCTTCTTGGGCTGTAATAACCTCTTCATAGGTGTTAGAAGCTAGCCAACTTTATGCAAAACAAAACTGTTCAGTTCTTAAAGACAGTGCAGTAAAAAAATGCTAGTTCACTGATTCACATGATGCATTCAGCAGTTTGTTTTCAAGGATATTACACTGCTGTTTCAACATATTTTATTTTCCTAATTTTCTGAAGAAACTCAAATTTTTTTTCTTCATGTTTGGATTTGAAACAGAATGTTGCATACTGTCAGTGCATGTGTAAAGAAATTGTAGCCATTATAAGAATTTTGAGCTTTACTCACTTTTCTAAACACTCTGCTACTATTTTCTGTGTCTCTGTTGTTGTCAGGGTTTTGGCCACCTTGTTCCTTCATGGGAAGACCCAGGTTTACTTGGGATAGTCTATGATTCTGTTCCCTTTCCTCAGCACAACAGACAGACTGGACAGACAACAAGACTGACGGTACTCACACACACACACACACACACACACACACACATGCGGTTATATATTTTACTATAAATCTGTAATTTCTTATATGTCTACTTGGAAAATATGTGACTGAAAGTTTGAGTGCAAGTATTTTAATAAGGACAGTGAACGCTCTGAAATCTGCAAGAATGATTTTAAGGCCCATGCAGGTTAAAACCTGTTGGCCTGTGCTCCCTTGTCAGGGATCACTTTTCGAGAGTCTTCGGCTATCTCCGTAAACAACCGCTAATCGTGACTTTTTTTTTTTGTCCGCTAAAGAAGGCTTTCATCATTCGAAAACTATCCCGCATACAAGTTTTGCCCAAAATGTTATGGTTTTACGGCTAATTAAAATCAGCTGACGGATTTAAAGGAACGTGTCCATTTAAATGCCCTGTCAACAAACATGCGTGTTAAAAAGCGAATTTTCGGTCGGCTGACCGAAAATGTTCGGTATGACTTGACACAGAAGACTCTTAGCTTTGGATACTTGATAATATTGGCTTTGTAACCTCACTTCAGGGTCGAAATTCACCTGAAACCCCCTCCCATGCTTTCTGAATGAGTTTTTAGCAGCTTTGAATTATGTGCTAATGACGGCGCTATCCTGCTTCAAAGATCATTCGAGCCAAGCTGATAACCCTCCTCCTCTCTTCCTGCTTCGTGTCTGGAAGCTAAAACAAAATGGTGCGGTAGGGGGATTTCTCCAACCTGGCTTTGTGTAGAATACCCAGGCTTTGGGAACTGATAAAAGGGGCATTTTTCATTGTGATCTCTTACTTTATAGTATAATTTATATCATTTTATTGCTTTAGAGCGAGGAATGTTCAGTTTTGAGAGGGCAGGGAAACGTCTTTCTGCAATTTAGTCTTTGATTTGTGCATGATTTCGTCACAATCTCGCTCTTGGAGTCATAGAAAGAGCCAGTTCATTATTATGTGTATTACACAGTGCACAGTGGTACATTTTGCATATATATATGGAGTAAATGTCATGACCAAAGTTTATGTCATTCAGTTGTAATCACCCATTTAATTTGAACAGATTCCCAGTTATGATGTGAAACTGCATGTGTCACAGATATTTAAAAATGTGCCAAAATTACCTCTCCGCCTGGGAAATTTCTCGGTAAAAAATTTCTAAAAAAAATCAAAATTTCAAATGATTGAGTCCAAATTTGGTGAACTTTTACACATGTAGATTTAAAAGTCTAAACTACTTTTTTGTGTTAAAAATAATATTTTAGTGATGTTTTTCAATATTTATTTATAAAAAACTTTTGTCAAGGTGAAAAAAAAGGTAAATTTCTTATATTCTATCACTAATAATTCAGGCAGGGTAAAAGTTACAATAGTGCTGACACCAGGAAACCATTCTTTGACATCTTACCTTTACAGAGGCACCAAAAGTTTGCACTTTAATCTGATAACTGTGAGGCTATTATTGATTTATTTTTGTATGTTTTTGTCAGGTGGAAATTCATTTTACCCCCCCCCCCCCCCTCCTGTGGGGGAAAGGGTTATTATTTGTGTGTGTGTTGTGGGGAAAAAAA